GCAGGCTCGGCCCGAGCGGGCGCTGGCGGGAGCCCCAGCGCGGGAACTCGGACCGCTCCCCGTAGCATTTCCAAGTGGCAGTGGCGCATGGAGCCGGGGCCAGCTCAGGACTCTGCATCCCCTGCTGGGGACTCTTGTACATTTCAAAGCTGGCACCTCCCCGTAGCATTTCCAAGTGGCAGTGGCGCATGGAGCCGGGGCCAGCTCAGGACTCTGCATCCCCTGCTGGGGACTCTTGTACATTTCAAAGCTGGCACCCTGGGCAGCCCAGAGTCAGCAGGACTCCCACTGGCCATAGGCTGCACACGGATTCCACAGGCCTCTGACATATACAAGAGGTCCCGGGGGTGGAGCCTCCTGTACATTTCAAAGGAGGAATCCGGAAGTTCCTATCAACTAGTCAAGTAGTTAAGGAAATTCCATTGACTACTTGTGACGGACCAGGCCGTGTCTGGGCACCGCTGAGGGCATCCGCTCAGGGCGAATTGCTCAAATTTGGGGCCCTCTATTGCCCCCAGCCTGGAGACCTTCCCAAACCAGTTGCATAGAGCACTTCAGTTGCTTCCTTGGCCAGTCAGAAGCCTCACGAACAAAACCCCTCCAATACCCCAGCAATATCCATGCCCTAGATGGCCCCGCCCTCATTCACAGGTGAGGGGGTTTAGGACCCAATCTCACCTACCCCAAACAAGTTCTGTCCAGTTCCAAGAAACCAGCCGCAGATCCCTGGTCAATTTACATTCTGGGTGCGGTGACGGACCAGGCCGTGTCTGGGCACCGCTGAGGGCATCCGCTCAGGGCGAATTGCTCAAATTTGGGGCCCTCTATTGCCCCCAGCCTGGAGACCTTCCCAAACCAGTTGCATAGAGCACTTCAGTTGCTTGCCTGGCCAGTCAGAAGCCTCACGAACAAAACCCCTCCAATACCCCAGCAATATCCATGCCCTAGATGGCCCCGCCCTCATTCACAGGTGAGGGGGTTTAGGACCCAATCTCACCTACCCCAAACAAGTTCTGTCCAGTTCCAAGAAACCAGCCGCAGATCCCTGGTCAATTTACATTCTGGGTGCGGCTACACTGGCCACAAGTATTTGCGCAAGAACACTGACTTTGTAATGTATAAAAGATTTTGCACAAAAGCAGTTGCTTTTCCGCAAAATCTTGCTGCCCTGGCTACACTGGCCACAAGTATTTGCGCAAGAACACTGACTTTGTAATGTATAAAATCAGTGGTTCTTGTGCAAATACTCCGATGCTCCTGCTCAGGGATAAGCCCTCTTGCGTAAGAGGCCAGTGTAGACAGCCACATTAATTTCTTGTGCAAGAAAGCCCGATGGCTAAAATGGCCATCAGAACTTTCTTGCGCAAGAGAGCGTCTACACTAGCACGGATGCTTTTGCGCAAAAGCAAATCTTTTGCGCAAAGGCACATACCAGTGTAGACGCTCTCTTGCGCAAATACTTTTAATGGAAAAACTTTTCCATTAAAGGTATTTGCGCAAACTCATGCCAGTCTAGACACAGCCAGTCTAGAAGCTGAGCCAATCCTTTAGAATCTAAAATCTAAGGCTGCGTCTAGACTGGCATGATTTTGTGCAAAATCTTGCCAGTCTAGATGCACCCTAAAGGTTTATTACTAAGAGAAAGAAAAGCCCGAGAGTGAGGTTGTTAACGTATCCTACATTCCATGCATCGAATCTCCCAGTTCTCGAGGCAGGCTCTAGCAGAGATGTTATAACTGCTGGCTTAAAAGTCCTTGGTGCACATCCTCTGTGCAGATGGGTCCACAGTTCTTTCCAGCTCGTTGATCCCTGCAATGCTGCATCTAGGATGAAGAGTTGAGCATTCTTGGGGTGTGTCCTTGGCCTGTGGAGGGCTATTGTTCCACGGAGACTTGCTCATTAGCAGGTCCCTAGGCTGAGCTGCTTTGCCCATTGCTCAGCCACATACAGAGAAACGTTCGGTATCCACACAAAGTCCATGCTTATAACATCACACACAGACATTATACAATCACATGAATAGCATCTATGGAATCAGTAGAAGATGAGCTTTCATTTGACGCCTCGCATGGCCCCCTTTGTATCACTTTTTGGGGCAAACACCCCCACCCCATGGGTGTACCAGTGACCTGGCCGCTCCCCTCACAATCCAGTAACATGACACTACTCGACTAGTAAATGAACTATTACTTAACATCCTTGATCTAGCTTGAGACAAAACAAGGCTGTTTCCAAGGACCCAAGGTTTCTGGAGCTGAGTTGCCACTTGCTTTCACACCTCGCAGTTGTGATGTTAGTACGAGAACCACACGTACACCAGAATAAGACACACAGAGCCAGCAGACTGACATTAACATTGATCGGTTACATGAGCTGTTTTGTCCAATGCATCCCCGAGTTATGCACATTTGTGTACACGGGACAGTTTCATACAGCATGGGGTGGGGCTTGTATTCGCTCTGTTTGCTTGTTGTGTTGCATGTGACTTCTGCTGTCCCGGAGTAACCCTGTGTGTGTGCCTCGGTTTCCCTGGGCCCTGCATTACTATTTAGATGGGGATGGGGGATTTGGGGTGTGGCCCACTGAGGCAGGATGTGCAGCCCATCACACAGATAATAGGCAGGCTCACTAGCCTGGGCCTGGGAGGGAGGTGCGCCCAAGAGACACCTTTGGCCCAGGAAAGTGGGCAGAGGTGGGGCTGGAGGGACTTAGCTGGGCTGCTGGGGGTGGGGGAGTCTGGCTGGCTTGGGGCAGGATGGGGGGCCGGGGCCCACAGCCCCCCCTCCCCAAGCTGGGTTGTGGCTCCTTGTCCGTGTGCGACGAGTGTCTACTCTACTCTGTGTCCCTGGGAACCAGGATCCCTTCTGTTCTCCCTGCCGGCCAAGAGGCCCGTCTGGCTGCAGATGGGGGTGCAGGGCCTGGTGGGTCCCCACTCTTTGGTGACACTGGTGGCAGCGGTGGGATACACTGCACCTCGTGGAG